ATCTGCAGTTGAAGGTGCTTAGCCATGTTGCTTCTCCTCCTTGCTATCACCACTTGTCTATCTGCTCTTTTTTTAATGAGGAGGCAGAGATGGGAGCAAAGAGAAAGAGGAACAGCTTCTAGATGGAAGAAGGAAAGTGGTGGGGTACTGGTGACAGCTGGGAGGCAGAAAGAAAGTGGCTTAACCATCACTATCAAATGGGACTGAACACAACAAAATTGATCCCAAAATTGCACCTCACCATCAACACCAAGCTGTCAATACTGGGAAAGTGCTCTCAAACATTAAAAAAACATTCAAAAGAAAAGAAAAGAAGAACATTCAAAAGAGAAATATCAAAAGTCACTCACAATTTCAGTACTTGACACAACTCAAGTGGCATCTGTGGCACTTTTGGAAAAAGAAACATGAAAGATTATTTCAGAGGATCAAAATTCTTCAGATTCTGAAATAGATAACAGATCCTCATATACAATGTGCATGATAAGGAGTCGAGTTTCCTCCTAAAGCATCCTCAGCCTAATTCAGTAATAGTGGAAGCATCTTAGAGTGGGTCCAAAGAGTGAACAATGTAACACCTATCATTAAGGAAGGTAGAAAGATGGATTCAATTGGAAGGAGAATATATTCCATGTCAGTGTTAGGCATCAGAGTGGCAAACTACCAAGCAGCCATAGCTGCTTATCATCTGTTCTTATGGGAAAAACCCAACCTCTCCTGCTAAGTTTACTGTAGTAATATTATGTATGACCTTTACAAAAAGAGAAATACAGTTAAAAGAATGGAACTTTAATCACAATATCAGTACTGGTTGACTGTGGCGTCCTGGATCAGGTTCAGGGTTTTGACCCTCCACAGTTTGGCCCCATGTTACTTGTCTGAGCATCTTTCCTTAAGGTCATATGCCCGAACAACAAGATCCTCCCAGTCAAGGCTCCCCCTGAGCATCTTTCCTTAAGGTCATCTGCCCAAACAACAAGATCCTCCCAGTCAAGGCTCCCCCAGGTGGCCACCCTGAGAGATGCCCATAAATATTCTACAAAAAGTAGGGACTTCTTCATGATGACTCCAACTTTATGGAACCAGATTCTGGAGGATCTCCACCTAGCCCTCTCCCTGTGTATATTTAGGAAGCAATTAAAGACATTGATTCTCTACAAGAAGTACGGACTTCTTCATGGTGACTCCAACTTTATGAAACCAGATTCTGGAGGATCTCCGCCTAGCCCTCTCCCTGTGAATATTTAGGAAGCAATTAAAGACATTGATTTTCAGGGAGGATTTCCACACCGACCCCAGCTGACTACCTCCCCCCCTTTCTTTCCCCTCCTCTTTTCCACTCCTCTCTTTTCCTCTGGGGATTACACAGTTGTGAAGCTGTGAGAAGAATGGGCAAAAGCAATTTTGATTATGCCATGGTGGCCATATCAGCCATGGTTTGCAAACCTACTTCAGATATCACCATATTTTTGGCAGTTACCAGTGACACCAGATCTAATAATCCAGGAAGAAGGTTTGGTTCATGACCCAGATCTCTGACTGAGACTAACAGCATGGAGAATTCTCGAACAATAAAAAGAGCAATATATTCGCGAAGGCTTTCATGGCCAGGATCTAATGGTTGTTGTGGGTTTTTCGGGCTCTTTGGCCGTGTTCTGAAGGTTGTTCTTCCTAACGTTTCACCAGTCTCTGTGGCCGGCATCTTCAGAGGACAGCAACCTGTGCTCTGGTGTAGTTGGCTTGGGAGTGCAGTATTTATGGCGGTGAGATAGGCTTTTGTCTTTTCTGTAGATGGGTGATTAGTGTGTGTCGGAACTGTGAAGCTCAGTTTCTCAGCACTGAACTCAGCCATCTGAATTGGGCCCTACAGGCAAATGGCTACTCAAAAAATGAAATCACAAGAGCCATCAAACCAAGAAAACAACACCTAACTGAAGAAGAAAAACAGCCACCCACAAATAAAGTATTTCTGCCATACATCAAAGGGGTCACAGACCACATGGGGAAACTTTTGAAAAAACACAACCTACAAAAGAATTCAAGCCCACCACAAAAATGCAACAAATGTTACGGTCAGCAAAGGACAGAAGGGACCCCCTCACCACTGCAGGAGTATATCAGATATCTTGCAGTTGTGGCCAGGTATGCATTGGAACCACAAAACGAAGCATCCACACCAGAATCAAAGAACATGAGAAACACTGCAGACTGAAACAACCAGAAAAATCAGCAGTAGCTGAACATGCCCTAGAACAAACTGGACATGAAATTCTATTTCAAAATACTGAAATACTGGACAACACCAGCAATTATTACTTCAGACTGCACAGGGAAGCCACTGAAATACACAAGCACCAGAAAAACTACAACAAAAAAGAGGAAAGTTTGAAACTCAACAAAACTTGGCGCCCAGCTCTCAAAAATACAGCATACAAAAGGGCATGAACTCTACCCAACCACAAGGTCAAAGGGATCACTGCCATCAACCACAGTGACAGATAATCTCCTTATCACAACAATACAACCACAACAAAACACACTAATCATCCCATCTCACAGCCATAAATACTCCACGCCCTAGCCAAACTACACCAGAGCAGTTTGCTGTCCTCTGAAGATGCCGGCCACAGAGACTGGCGAAACGTTAGGAAAAACCACCTTCAGAACACGGCCAAGAAGCCCGAAAAACCCACAACAACCAAAATTTGATGCATTTACAAGGTTGGTGGGGGGAGGGTACTAACTTCCTATGTTTCACACTGTTCTTTGTTTCTTACTAAACTTAAGAGAGAAGAGTTTGTCGTAGTTTTTCAAAACTCTGGTGTTGAAGAGTTTCTTGAAAGGTTTAAGAAACCTGTACCCTGACATCAGTACCTCAATGGTCACTTTGGATTGTTTTGCATTAGTTAATGAAGCCACCATTCAAACCTATGGCTATGTCTCTTTTCCATGTTCTTTCATATAAGATTATGTTTTAGTATCAATTATATCAGCTAGGAGAACGAATGAATTGGCCATGATCCCCCATTTCTACAGTTTTACAAAGATAAAGTGACCCTGTTTTTGGATGTATACTTTTTGTCAAAAGTTGTCTTGGATTTTCATTTGAACCAGCTTTTACTGTTACCAATGTTTTTCCTGTCACCTTCAACAGAGTTGGAAAGAAGATTGCACACATGATCATAGAGCATTGGTTTTCTTCATATCAAGAAATAAACACTTGTATTAAAGAAATACATTGTTTGTGTGCTACTAAGGCAATCAGAAAGGTAGCCAAGTCTGTTTGCAAAGACTGACCAAGTGACTACTGCAGTGGTTCCCAATCTTGGGTACTCAGATATTCTTGGACTAAAATGCCCAGACACTTTCACCACTAGCTATGCTGGTAAGGATGTCTGGGAGCTGAAGTCCAAGAAGACCTGGAGACCCAAGGCCGGGAACCACTTTCCTAGTGAATACTATTGTTTTTTCATATCAGTTGACAAAAACCCAATACCCAGTTCAGTGAAGGGTCATTCCACTAGGGTGGTTGCTGATTCAACAGCTTTCCTAAAGAGATCCCAGATGCAGGAAATTTATTCATTTGTATAATTAAACAACATCCAGATAGATAGATAGATAGTTATATAGATAGCATATTAGTTTCCCTTAAAGTAAAAAGGCGGAAAATGAAATATGACAGCAAATGTATGTATGTAAATTATGGGGGGAGGATCTTGAGGAAGCTTCAGTAGAAGCTGCCAAAAGGCTTTTCAAATTGGTATGTGCAACAGTCTGGCACTGAAGTTATTTGCATAACTTTCCCATGATTTGCTGCACTTTTTCCCCCTCTAAAGAAATTCATCTACTTCATAACCTAAGGATGCCTTTTAATCTTGACATTGTTTTGGGGTAAGGCAGCATTTCCTAATGGATCAGAAGCCTGAAGAAAGGTAAAACACTGAGAAGAACATCAGTGACTGCTTGTACTTTGCCCTCATTTGGTGTGTAGAGTTATAAAAGATTTTGTTCCAAACTGAGACATGTTAATTTTACTTGAAGTAGAATCTCTTATTATTATTTCATCTATGTTTTAAATGTAAAATAGTCATTATTTAACTGTTCCTTTAGTGAAATAATCTGGAGCTTTTAGGTCCAATTTGCATTTTGTTCCATAATGAGGATCCTGGTATTTTTTTTGGGGGGGGTATTATTTTGTACATATTGACCCAGCTACAAAAATGGGGCTGCAGAATATCTAATTCTTCTTTCCAAGTTAGTCTATAAGACTCAGCACTCCTAATTGGGATTTATAATTTCATTTATACAGTACTGAAATTGTTTACGTGCAAATAAGTATGTTTAGCAAAATTTGAGTATAAGCTTATATACTGTTTTTCCTTTTTGTAAATAAAAAGCATGGCGTGTCAATTCATTGTATGTGTGTGGAGGGGAGGGGAGGAAAGAGAGAAAGAATATTCTAGCCTCAGATAGAAGTGGGAGCACTATATATGTGAACTCAGAGGGGGGATCTGTTCTAATGTTAGTGGGAATTACCATCCATGACCTGAAGTTTTGGCACGGTGACAAAAAAAAGCTCTTTATATTCATTTATATTCCTCTCAAGCTGAGATCTAAGATTATACCCTCTGAAGAGCAACTGCAATATTCTCTTTGTGTAACACATTGGGATTTACAAGAGCCACTCACACTTACATATGCTCATCCCTCCCCCCCCATGTGATGCTCATTTCATACCCCTCAAGTGAAATGCTACATAAAGCTGTTTGTTGCCTACAGGCCTGAGAAGACAAGAGAGGCCAGGGAGCTGTGGGGGTGGGGGAAGTGAGTGTGAAATATGTATTAATATTTAATCCAAGCAGTTTAGATGAACTTGATGCTACAATTAGCTAGCAATGCCCATCTGCTGTGCACAGTACAACAACGACTTATTAAATAACTTGAAGATGGGGAGGGAGCTGCCAATTATCTTTCAATTTATTCCTTAATAAAGCATATACAGTCTCTACAGAGAGAGATCCAGATGGTGAAGGAAACTCTCCAGGCCATGCTGGTGCAGCTCCAGCCAGCTAAGGAGGCGGAAGATGATGCTGCCACAGCCCTCCTCGCTGACAGCTGGTATCCAGGAAGGCAAGGCGTAAGAGAATAATGAGGAAGAAGATGGAGGAAAGATGTTTAATGCATAGGGGTTGCTTTTGAGAAGGAAAGCCCTTATTTCCAGCCTTGAAAGGTCCTGCCCATTTAATAACAACTGAATCAATTATAGGGAAAGAATATGGATCCTGTATAGATCTCACCTGAGAAGTGGAGTAGTTGACACGTTCCACTGGTCCCGATCTAGAAACAAGTTTGTCCCACTCACTCCCAATGGTGGCAATTCCAAGCTGACACATTTTGAATGGTTCCTGACAGTGAGATAGTTGCAAAAACCAAACAAACAATCAAACCAGCCCACCCAGGATGACCTTCCTGTAGGTTTTTTCATCTGATTTTCCATTCCATTATGGACTGATTTTATCATTCAGAGAACTTGGGCCTTGCCTGTGTAAGCTAAAGAGCAATGGCTATCACAGATGCTGAAGCAGCTTTTGCTCTGATCTTGTCCCAGTGGCAGATGGAGAGGAGGGGCAGCTATTTGCTGCCTGGAGCTGAGCAAAAAAAAGGGTCCACCCCACCCAAGTCAAGGGGCGTGGCATCCCAAATCCAGCCAAATGGTTTTGGTCAGGACAAAGGCAACCCCACAATTATTTCTTCCCCTCTCTGGCTGAAAAAAAAATGTGATTATGATGATGGCAACAACAAAAAGAGTAGTAAGTAATTAAACAACCTTTCATGGCACTCCAGATCTGGTTGTGCTATCATGACCTGCCAGGAGACAGATTTTTTTCCTTGTAAGGGCAGAGTTGAATGGGGCAGGATGATGTGTCCATACACAATTCAGGGAAAAGTGAGTAGGAACAAATAAAAAATTAAGATTCAGTATATTCTGAGGTCCTCAGAACAATGCAAAAGAGACTACCCGGTGACACTGACCTTTAAGAGATATTTGTGAGACTTGCACAATGACTTATCCAGGTCATTATGCTAGTAGTTTGTAGGGGCAGGAAAAATGTTCTTGCATTTTCAAAGCAACATAATAGTGCTTCCTTAAAGGAAGGAAAACACTATTTCCCAAGAATGGGTGCTCTTGCTGGCAAAATGTCAGTGTGTTCCTCCCCCACAGCGCAATGTGGAAAATCTCTTTTTAAAAGGGGGGAAATGAATTCTGGTGCATCCTTTTGTAAAATATTTCTCTTCAACTTATGTTTGCGAGAAGGAAACCACTGGGTTGAAATTGAAGCTAATAACTGAATTTTCTTCAATGAATTGAGGACTGCACATATGCACTGGCATTCAATACAACTGTGATAATTAACATCAAAGGATAGCTTAATTATTTTTCAATTTATTTTTTAGCGTTACAAAGCGAGAGCAAATGCTTGTTAATTCTAAGGGCAGTATTTTTTAAAAGCAATTACTAATGATTAAAGAAAACCTTGACATTCTTGATGATGCTTAGTGTAATTAAAAACCTCAATAAATGCTCTAGTGATTTCTAAAACATAACAACTGGCTTCCAATAGTGCAATTCTTCTGATGTCTTTTACAAATAATATTTGTTGGAGGGAGGATATAGTATTGAATGGAACAGGGTGTGTTTTTTTTTGCCATGTTGATGAAATCTGGATTGATTTACCTGTAAATATAGTTAGTTTATTCTAGGATAAAAGGAATGTTGTATTTAAAAAACAGAAACATAGGACCAATAAGCAGGAAATGACTATTATGTAACTGGCCTTTTAAAATGTTGGTTTGTCTTTCCTGATAGAGGATAGAGATTTAGCCACAGTCTTGCATGCCTTGACCATTTTGTAACAACCACAGTTCTCTTCATAGGATAGTGCAGAGGGAATCCTGGTTGGAGGAAACTATTGGCCTTGACCTTGAAGTGATACTGAACTTTAACACCACTGTCCTAGCCCATTGGAGCTAAAGAGAGTTGGAGTCTAACAAAATTTTAGGATGGTGCCATGATAGTTAAAGTCATATCAATATATTGGAAAAACGCTAAACATGGAAAACATAGGCAGGAATAGAAAATAGTGTGTGGTTTTTGGTTGCTTTGCAGATCCATTCACACACAGAGGCATCTCACCAAATGATAAATTTTGTCTCAAAAACCTGAAAATGCCACTTAAAACAAGTACAGTATCACTTTTCCTATTCCTAGTTATTTCTTAATTGCTATCAGTCTTAAATGGGATTAGATTTTTTTAAAAATGTTTGTACTGGTTTGTTATGGAAAGGGTACAGAACTGGAATATGACTTAGCAAAATACTTTTAACCGTCTTTCCCTCTGCAGTTGTCGACTGCCCTCTTAGATTGCTCTGTGTTGTGTAGGCTAGCTAGCATTACAAGCAAGAGCTTTAACACATCATATTAAACTGTTGTGAGGGGAAAGTACGGTACCTCTATAATTCAGAGAAAGAAGCTCGACCACAAACAATACAAGGCAAGGCAAGGTTTGCTGTAATCAGAACCAGGAAAATTACATTCTGGACTTTTTTGTTTGCTATGTGTTTACAAGTCAAATCAGACTTATAGCGATCCTAAAAGGCCTTTCAAGGTAAGCAAGATGTTTTTGGATTGGTTTTACTTGGTTACATACCTGCCATGAGTTTCCATGGCAGAGTTGGGAATTCAGACCCAGAATTCCTGAGTTTTAGTCCAACACACGTAGCACTGTGCATCCCGTATGCCTTAGCTTGCATGACCAGTAGCCAAGCTGTCTGGGGAATTTTTGGGGACTGTAGCAGAAAAAGTAACTTTTCTGAGCTTTGTCTATGGTAAATTTAAACGTGGGTGGCAGTAGTCCCATAACATCAAAGAAGCTTGCATAGAAATTCCCCACAGATTATATTCCAGTGAACTAAGACTGTAGAAAAATAGTCCTGGGTACATTACAGTCTCATGAGTTTCAAAATACTTTTCCAGACTCAGCTGTATTGAAAGTGCTTGTAGAAGTGGAGCAGTTTGAAAAATGGACCGTTACTTAATGAGTGATACTCTGAGACTTGGAAAAGCTCCTACATGTACTCAACATTCCTTTAAACATCATTTTAAATGACATATATACAATTTTTAATGAGATGAGTTAATCCCCAGACCTTATTATAAGTGGAAAACTTCCAAAATTCAAAACGTTTTTAAAGTTGCTCAGTCTTTATTAGTTGAAACAAATTATACTTAGTAGCAGTGTATGATTTTATTTGAATCTCAAGTCCTTCACATTTAATTTTATTATTCACGGGTGGGGTGAAAATCACTTGCAGCACTGTAATGTCATGCTTTGCAAACGTGGGGTTCACGTTACCACTGTCTTAATTGCTGTGCACAGAAGTGGTAAAGGTTTTCTGTTCTCACTTTTTAAAGTCAACCTTGATTCCAGCACAATGTCTTCCACCTTACGGAATCGATTGGAAAAGGGTGCCAAGCTGTGTACTGGGTGAGTTACTGTTCTACCCAGGGATGTCAAATTATAAGGGCAAAGCTCAAGTGGTTTATGAAGTCATCCATTCCTCTGGGTGAATTTAAAGCCCTATAATGTAACTGGTTGGTATCTGTGCAAAATATATGTTGCGGCACACACAAGAACCTTGGCTTGGTGCCTGACTGGGCCCCATGGTTTGTCTGCTTTTCTTTTCCTCCCTCATTATCTAGCCAGTGTTTCTTTCTGTTGCCTGTTTAAACTGCCAATGCCTTCATTTTCAACTCCTCCAGGGTTTCAACACTTTTTGTGATGAACCTGGTGGCTAACAGCTGGTTATATGTAGACATTTGTTTATGTCTGGCCACAGTGTGTTTAAATGCTGGTGTCTGACATCAGTTGTTGTATTCCTTTGATTTTTGGAACTAGTTCTGGAGTAGTTTTGCCCATTGATATTGGACTTAATTTCACCCAAAACTACATAGGATATTCTCAGGATTGGGATACCCAGATTAACCTTAGCTAGCAGCTCCTGATTTACATTATGTGCAATACTCAGAGAAATTACAGGAATCACAGCACCAAAAATAACTTTTCTAAGTTCTAATGTCTGGTGGTAGGTCTAAGCCTTCCTGTTGTGCCACAGCGCTAATCAAGAATCATCCTCTGAGGCTGCTTTTAGCTGTGGGGACAGAAACTATACAGGCACAAGAACAGCATGGTGATGAGAGGGGTCAGGCTTTAGAAGCTGCATCTACAAGTCATGAATTTCCATGATTCTCTTTGGAGCACACAACAGAAACGAGAAAGATACCATGTGAATGTGGTTTAAGAACACTGAGTTACTGAAAACAAATCATCTGTGGTTATATAAAGGCTGAAGGATTCCTTCCCAAGCAACTGCTGATATATGGGCATCTTGATCCAGGGTTGCTAAGAGATGGGGATCAGACAGATGGCTAGGATTAACTTGTGGGGAAAAATCATTGGTTCCATTGCATTTATTTAATGCATTAAACCACTACTGAAACGAGGATTTCCAGAAGTTTAAAATATTTGCAGTCCATATTTTAATCCTATTTAATGTTATCTTTTTCTGAGTTAATAATTTCAGCAGTTGACATGTTTTTATTAATTTTTCTCATTTGATTTCTTCTTCGTTGAAAGGAGTTAGTAGCCAAAGTAGAAGTTATTCTTTTCATAACTCTCTAGATAACAAATGTAATTTTAAAATGCACAATCTTTAGAAAAATATCTGCTTGTTTCACAAAGAAAAAAAATTCAGAGATTTCTCTGTTGGGTAAGATTATAAGAATTTTTATACAGGTTGCTGTCCTCTGAAGATGCCGGCCACAGAGACTGGCGAAACGTCAGGAAGAACAACCTTCAGAACACGGCCAAATAGCTCGAAAAACCTAGAACAACCAATTTTTATACATGTTTGTTTTGTCTATTGCCTTTCTGACCTTATAGGGGCACATGTTTGTTTTATCTATTGCCTTTCTGACCTTATAGGGGCAAAGAGTTGCTTGAATGAAAATAGGGAAGTGTTGCTTCTCTTCAAACCTTGCATTTTGCAAGGGTTTGGGTTTGGATTTTGTTTTTTTGGTGCAGCCTTGCTCCCCATGATTTGCTAATTTTGCCACTGACAGGGGGGGGGGGGGGAATACTGGTGTTTCCACTCTCCCTCAAGAGCACAAAGCTCACAGTGGTTAACCATTTTTTCAATGAGGTGTTTCAATGTGTAGAGATATACCCTTTTTATAAAGGACAAAAG